CCCTGCCGTATTTCTTTGACTTTCATTCAAGTCCATGGGGAAACGATACAGACTTCTTAGTTCTACTTCTTCCTGCTCATTACTAAAATAACTTGGACTACAAGCTCATAGGTAGAGGTCTTAAGTATAAATAGAAGTCTCAAGTTAGTTAAGGTAAATTCCACTTGAAGTCAACTGTACTCTTGGTATTTAACACATTTCAGCATAAACGATCACGAACTGACTATTTGGCACAGAGGCAATCTACTGTACTCGGGCAAGTTCCCATTGACTGCATAAAATAATCTCTGGCTATCTCACAAAGAGAGGGTACAAGTTGTACACAGAATAGTACTGGTTTAGATTATAATCTGCATGACAACATATCCACAAACCTATAAAGTATAGAAAAACTACCATGAAAGCCTGCTAAAAGATAAAATAAATATTGTGAAAACTTCGGAGTGCTTTTTGAAAAAACTGTGTCAGCATCTGTCATAGGCAATTGGACGCATTATGAAGTCTTTCATCTGCTTAAGAGGTCAGCTTCTTAAGTACCTGCTGGAAGGATAGTTTTGAAGTTAAATTGGTAAAACTGAAAAACAGTCATAGCTACTATATGCCCCTAAACTTTTTTAATTATCTGTCAAATTCAGTAGAATACCTGCTGACTCTACAGCAGTGTAAATATTGAAATATTCATGGAAATTCCTTAATCCACAGCCCAAAATTATAAACAGACTGGCTGTTTTCCCAGTTATCCATTAACTTTAGTACAGTAACAATGTTCAAGTTTTTTCAAACCGCACACAGTGATACACGAGTCTGACACAAAACCAGGTCATCCACTGACTTTCAATTAAAGAGACAACGCCCCAGTCATGAATCTAACTGCATAGTCAGAACAGAGAACAACACTTTTTGGCCGTAGAAACAACAAAAATTTCATCTGATGTCCATTTCCATAATGGAACCCAAGCACAAAGCTACCCCTCACACTTTATCCTACTTAACTGAGTCAGGGGACACGCTCACAGATACTGTAGGCAAGCGGTACTTGGGGCAGGGCTGCCTGTTCATTTGCCAACAGATGAAAATGAGAATGGAAGGCTGCTGTGTTTCTGCAGAAGTTTGTGATTCTGTATACATCTTTCCCATATACCTGAACAATGCTTTCTCTGCCCGAGTGGCACTGAAGTATCTACATAGCTTTTGATCTAGGTCAGGCCAGTTTCAAGGATCAATGCCATGACCTCTTGTGTTCTCCTGCAATACAGATAGAATTCAACATTAAACCAACTATAGCACATCCTTGTAGGCTTTCCCAGGTATTTACCCTAGATGGCTTCTTTTAGTTACCAATGCCTAATGGGAATGAACAAAGTTAATGGCTAATATAGCAAATAACTTCATCTTGTATTCCAGCTATTCCTTAAGAAATGGTGGTTGCAGCTCTCATTCTGTTTTGAAATTAGTAAGAAAAGCTACTGAAACAGCAACTAAAAGTCACATTTAACCATCTGCACCCTTTCTGAATACGTAATATATATAAGCATCAATTTTACTTACTCATTAATTTTGAAACAGGTAACATTTTTACAGCGGAGACAGTTAAATGTAGTGATTTTTGTCTCCATGTTACCATTACAGTCGTATGCTATTTAATCTCACTGATTTACAAAGAATTCACTGTTCCTTAGTGTGAAGTTATCTAGCTATACTAAAGAGTTGTATCTCAGATGTAGTTCTGTCTCCAGAGCTTTTGGGCTGCCTTGGGCACTGTATGTTAATAGAAACTATTAGCTCTTATGTTGTCGAGGGCATTTCAGCCTAGCATTGCTATAGAATTAATAAGTCTTTTTCCATGTTGTTAAGCCCACACAGCAGAACCACTGAATTCACTCCACAATGTTTATTGTACATAAACCTAGGAAAGAAATGATCATTTGAGTTCTTTGGGTTTTTGTTTGGTTGGTTGGTTTTTTGGCTGGTTGTTTTTTTAACTAAGGAAGAACCTCACTAAGAAGAGCCACACAGTGAGGATTAAAGTATCCTCACTGTCAGGAGTTAATTCAAAGGCATACACTGTCTAAGTACTATTTAATCCTGCAAGACATCTTTCTGAGCAGTGAAGATCTGGCTTTCTCTAACAGCACATAAGGATAGAATTCTCTTTTCTCAGGCCTCCACAGACAACTTGTTTGCAATTAACAGCCAAAATTTTCAATCTAAAAATGACAGAGTGAATTATTTAGAAATTACTTACTTAGCCCCAGAGGTTTAGAATATCTATGACTTTTCAGCACTATTTCTAGTTAATAATATATGTTCCATGAAGAAATAAGAATCCTGAAAGAGTAAGAAGTTGAGAATTTGGACAATTTTTTTTAACATGTAGGATATTCTTAAATCTTCCAAATTTTTACTAGAATTCACACTTTCCATGAAAGGGTTAAACTAAAAAAAAAATGTTGTGCTTTTCTTAAAATTGTGAAAGTAGAAAAAATAACCCCATTTCTTAGTGCATAACACAAAAACAACTGTTGTACATCACTATCCTCCTGCAGGCACTACCGTGCAACAAAAGTTGTACTAAAGATACACCTTGATATGAACTAGTGTATTTCTTCATGATGCCTCTACAGCTCTTGGAATAACCTGTTAATAATTCAGCTTTTAAATGAACTTTTTGTGCTGTGATGGATTAAATTGTACTCTTTCACATGTCATTAGCATAATTATACACTGACTTAAAATTTTGTGGGGGGATTTGGTTGGTTGGTTTGAGGGATTTTTTTGTTAGTTTAAGAAGGGAATGAAGTGTTGCACTGACATTTGAGGAGTCTTTTTAAGCTGTGAAATAAAACAGTCTATGTAAAGAATTCCTAAACCTAAATTTCTCAACTGTTTTCAGCATTAGTTTTCAAAGAGTAATGAAGATGTAGATGAAATAGCTGGAAACTAGTAGCATCTTTACAAACGTCTCCATTAAAAAAATACATATTTTTTAACAACTGCTAAAAATTTAGATACCTTCTCTAGCTTCCCTTAATTACAGAGACTAGTACAATATCTGTCCATTCTACCTTTCATACTTTATCACTAGTAAAGGTGGCTTTCTAGCAATTGCTACAAAACAAGCAGTAAGGCAATGATGAGAATCAAGTTCATTTCTCATTTTTGCTGTTTTGGTTACTTTACACTAAAAGCATGAAGCAGGTACAACTTACAGCTTTAACTGTTAACAGAAATATTAGTTGCACGGAAAAAGCAGATACTGCCATCACAGGGAGGATATTATCATGAGACCTATAAATACCCTTAGAAACAGAAAAGAACACACAGGAGAGGAAATAGTCTTCATTTTAGAGGGAAAAACAAAGTAACTATTTGCAATATTGCAGACACACTGACAGAGCCTAGTAAAATGAAGGAATTAGAGGAATGACAAGACAGGAAGAAGGATCCTAAGGCAGTACTGCTCCACAAATCCTCCACAAAGTGGATTGAGCAGAAGGGTAAAATCCATGAGCCTCCGCAACTGGAGGAAATTCACAGAAAACTAGTATCACGCACCTACATAAATAGCAGAACACACAAAAAGAATCTAAGATATTTACCAGAAAACATAATTAAAAGTTATGCAGGAAACAACAACAAGTTCAGAGTACCCTAATTCAGTATCTAGTATTTACTTTTGAAAATTTTACCTTGTATTGTTGCAGTGCGACTAAAGCTAAAATTTATGTAAAACCATCATATAGTCACTCAGCAACAATAAGACAGCAAAGAAAAATAAAGTTCAATACTATACACAATCTATTAGTCTCAAGGTCATATCTTGTCATCTTATTTTTTTACTGATATATTTGACCAAAGAGATTAAAATAATTTTTAAATCTCAAAATACAACGCAAAAATAGGACTCGATAGGGGAACTTTGTATTTTTGAGTAACTAGGAAAAACACCTCAGTGTAAAACTGAGTTTTTTAAAACTTGTAACTGACTATTATTGTTAGTTCAATTAAATTCTATTCAAAAACTTTTTATTAAAAGCAGCAAGTCAGTACATTTGGGGAAAACAGAAAAAGTGCCAGAAGGCACTTCCTATGCCAGCTTAATGATACTAGACTGACACAACAGACTTGTTTATTTACGCCACATTCACTTTACCAGGTCCTTCATCACAAGTAGCTATTTTGTGCTTTAAAACAAGGGATGTGTTTGTCCAAAGCAGATAGCCTCATCAGCGTGTTGTAATAACTTGTGAAGTAAATTGTTCTCTCAGTGTTACACTAGTAAAACTGTGTTTTCATATAGTATTAGTAAGCTGGGCACTTTGGTGGATCTTAGACTGATTACGCATTTCATCCTCCCAGGACAAGTTCCTCCGAATCATATGAGAAGACTGTATTGTAATGTCTAGTACCATTACACCTTCCAGCAGTTCTGTCTGTCAAAGTTCATAGAACTACGTTTATTAGCTTTATGAATCAGCGTTACATGCTCACATCTCCTGGGAATTTACAGAATAACCTGAAACACTCAGCTTGAATTTTTCTGACTCAGTTGTGAGCTTTGCAATTTTCGTCCACTCTTAACTGATTATCAATCAACTCCAAAGGTTTCTAAGATTATGATTTTTCTAAAGAAAGCAGAACTTTGTGCTTTAACTTAGGATTGTTAGGACTGAAAATTTTTCTTTTTAATAACTAAAGATTATAACTTACATTTTATATATAGCTCCCAAAATGTTTCACTTAGTTCACTGCAATGTCAGCCAGCCATCTGATTGTCATGGTCTGACTTAAGCTACTGTGTTGTATTAGTGACATGCCTTGAACTATATGAATATTTTATTTCTTGCTTGTTTATATAAATATTTTAACTCTCTAACATACTGAATGTGTTGGTATTTCCACTCAGGTCCTCTGTAAATTAGGTTTATATAATAACATCACATGACATACAAAAAAAAACTGAGGAAAACAATAAAAAAAAGATCCCTCTGTGTTATTACCTGTTTCAATTTCCCAAATATAAACTGAATCATCTTCACATCCAACAATTAGTAGATTTTCAAGAGGGTCAAATTTTATCTTCTTCACAGGAAATAGATGCTTTCTAGCATGTAAGAGACATACTCTTTTCTGAAGGTGGAGAATTGCTACTGAGTGATCACTGCACACGCAGCACACAATGTCATGGTCTTTTAACTGCAAAACAAAGAACTCCAGTTTCAACCCTGTAACCAAAGTCATAACTGCATAATTTTGAGAAGCCTGGTAATAGTTGTCCAGTGATTTCTTTTCCAAAACATACTAATTTTAAAAAATACCTTCTTATTTCAGCCTACAACTCCAACTTGTTTTCAACAGGCTAGCTGTACAACTGATCTCCTGACAGGAAAACATACAATCTTTTCTGATATTTCATTTTTAAAAAAATAGTAATTTAGACATCATTTATTCACAATACTTAGTCTATCAAAGCAGTGATTATACAATCAAATATACAGTAGCCACTATCCTAGAAAAGAAAGTAGTAAAACATTACCTTAAACTCAACTGCTGTTCATGTGATTATAAAATTGTGTCAGGTCTTAATACACGAAAGTCCAGAGCAAGGTATTTCTAAGTAAAAATTTGGCATGCTACAATTTCATTTCACACTGTATGGATCTGATTCTGCAAAGCCTTCTTTTCCTGCAAGTAATTTTTAGTGGCACATGAAGGAATTCATCCTACAGAAAAAATCATCCCTATAAAAGAAACTGAAGCACCACTCACATAGGCATTAAATCCTCCCCATTTCCAGAAAAAAGGCTAAAGGGAGCCTTACAAGCATTAAGAATGTATGCCATTGCAAAACATCTTTAGGACTATTTAATGTCAGCATGGAAATGAACTCCAAGCAAACCATAAGTATCAAACATGTCTTCACAGTCTTTCTAAGAGGAAAATGATGAAGTTCCAGCCCCATGGAATGAGGCGGATAGAATTGGTTCAACAAACTTTCATAGAGTGCCCTGTACCATAAATCACCTTCTAAAGTTTTACTTCAAAATTCACTTAAAGAAAAACATACAAAACTAGTCTGAATCTCATAAAACACAAAAGCATACATGCTAAGGACCACAAGTATATGTTGGGAACCAAAATGAAGAAACATATTTAGATTAAAATACTATTGGTCCAAATATTTTCTTACTATATTCAAACCCCAGCCTTACTGAACACACTTTTCAACTTTAGAAGTTAGAAGATGATCAGATTAACATAAAGAATGATACTAATGATATTAAAAGTGTTGAGCAGAACGTTAAGCACTTCTATTTCATGTGTCACTAATTTAAGATATATTTTTTGAATTACTTAAATCACACAGTAACAAAAAAACCAACACCTTGAAATTAAAAGCAACTTTCAAATAAGACAATCAAGTGAATGTAAGCTAAGGGTAAAGTGCTACAGGATAAAAGTATTGCCAGAAAGTTTTTCTCTCATAAATACATAGAGACACACAGGCATATAGGTAATTTTTTTTTTTTTTTGAGACAGCTTTTAGTGCACTTCTACTTACTCTGTAATTTTCTGGAGATTGCAAGAGCTCTGTCACTGGACCAGACTGCAGACTAAATTGTTGTAAGATGCCTCCAGTAAGTATATCCCAGCAGATCACAACAGAATCCTGGCCCCCTGATAACAGCCAGCTCGGATCGTATCTTACAGATTCATCATGTGGATATAGCAAACAAGTGACTCTGCTACTATGACCATTCAGAAGCTTATAAGGTAGAGTATCTGAAATAAGATGGGGCATAAATTACTTCTGTTCTTTAAGAAAAAGCGTTCCATATATTGCAGTATACTTGCTAAAAGTCAGGAGATTCAAAAGACTAAATACAACAATTCTTTACCTGAGAACAAACAATTTGGGACATGTTCCTAAAGGGAGGACAAAGATCTACACTCTGATCTTTAGCTACTGAGATGTACCCTTTTTGTAGTTCAGTAGGATGATCTTTTTCGAAGGAAAGTGACAAAATGACCACTGCCCTTATCTCACTTCCAGGCAATTCCATCCCCACAGCCACTCCAGGACTTCTAACAGAGAAAAGCACCTTGGAAGTCCTAAGCTATGATTTGACAGATCAGCTACAGAGGCAGAAAGAACATAATAATCTTCAATTTTCCTATTTTTTAGAGAATATTTACAGGCATCTCGGGGGGGGGGGGGGGGATGTCAGAAGTATGTAGTCTTTTGTGCATGATTGAGATGAATTTGAACAAAACTGTTAAAACCTACCTTTCAGCAAAGATATGTTTTCTAAAAGTCTTGCTCTTGCAGTTTTTAAACCTTGTGTTACAAAAATGTTCCCATTTTCACACCCACACACAAGCTTATCAAGACTGGGTATGTATACAGAAGAACTGACAACTGCACTTTTGATTTTATCTTTAGATTCATAAAGATGATCCATAATGCCCTCTGACATTGAACAGTGTTTATCAAAATTATCCTGAAGAGTCCACGTCGCTGTAATAGGGATCTCTACGGAGTGAGGGAAAAGAGTTTAATTTTAATTCAAAACAAAATAAAAATCCAAACAAAGCAAAACACAGATTTTCATCTCCTCATCACTTCCCTTCACTAAACCTTTCTGCAGCCTAGGGACGCAAAGTCAGCAGTCACTATTCCAATATTAGGTTACACCTCACTAAATCCTTTCTTTTATACCTCCCTTTAAACAATCATAAGCAGGACCAACCAAGTAAATTTTCATGACATGTGGAAGAAAAACATTTATGGGCTGATGGTAATGAAATAGGAATATATATAACGTTCAGTTCCATGAAGAATTCCTAGACACTTATCTTCATTTGTGTCTTGCTCCTTCTATACAGGCAATCATCACACAATGACTGAGTGAGCATCACCTTCTAGAGTGAAAATTTTTCATGAGAATTTAAGTTTTCATTAAAATTGACATAAAGGTATAAATAAAAAGACTGTATCAAGAGCACAGAATTGCCAGACCTTTTGCCAAACCATCAAATGTTGACACAGGGACATCAGGAATATGCCACAAAGTGATCCTTCCAGAAGCCTCACCAGAAAAAAGAACTTTATAGAAAGGCTCCTTTCTTTCATTCATGAAGCCCATGACAAAAGGAAAACTCTGCCAAAAACAACAGTAAATCAATATTTTGATACAAAACAGCTGACAAAATAATAATTAATTGCAAATTCACAGTTTGGGTTTTTAACATCAAAAGCTGTAGAAATATAAAATAATAGTTCAGCCCTCACCTGTCACTGAGTTCTGCTCAGATCAAGTCTCCTCTGTCTGCTGTAAGCCTCTCAAAGGTCACCTCTACTTTGCTAGCATACATGGCTAAGCCCACATCCCAAGTGGAAAAGTGGAATGGGGAGCCTCCCTAGGTTTACTGTCTCTAAGTGGAGATCTATCAATGCTATCACCAGAATACAAAAAAAATAAAAAGACACCAAAAAGCACTGGGATAAGGCTGAAAAAATTTGCAGCGAAACACTGATAATCTTCACATCAAAATAAATTAAGGAAATCTTCAATCATGATAGCTAAAATTACTATAACTACTAAAAGGTAAGAATGATGCTTTTACAGAGATAGGTAATAGCCTGTAACACCATCATTCAGTCATCTGGAAAAAGTTAGATACTACGGAGGTATAATATCACTGATAAACAGATGTACTGACACCTACCTAGGTTCATGCACTCAACACAAATTTATTGCAGTATCTTTATATCAGACAAACATCATGTTTTTCTCTGTAGGATTTCCTTGTGTGTAGGTATAACACCACAGATAATGCTAAATCACCACATCAGTAACAATCAAACTATGTGGTTATCTAGCGGTGACTTGCAAAGAACATCCTGGTTAGTTGTTACATAAACTTCATTCTCAATTAGCAAACTATTCAAAAACATCAAGGCATCTAAGGAGAAGTTTCTAGTTGCCTGAAACTCTTGCAAAAGTCAAGAAAATTAGGAATCTCCAGGTGCATCTACACTAGCTTGAGTTTACAGCAGGCATGCACCTTCTAAGCCATGAGATGTGTGCATAAGCCTAAAAAAACCTCACGTCAAAAAAACCCAAAAGCACAGACTATGGTAGATAGCATGGATGAAAGGTCAGCAGCACAACCTGTTTTGTTCTACACATTACATTTACTTAGAGCAAACACAGCTTGACTGCTCCTTCAAGACATTTTAATAAGCAAAACTGAAGCTTGGGAGTCCGTTCCACAATAAGCAACTCTACTGTTACGTGGTTCAGTTGATAATCGAAGAATGGAAATCAGAACAGAGCATCACACAGGCAGTTTTGTTGTCTTTCAAGTCTGCTACAAAAATAATTCAGGTAGTAAGGTAAACATTAAAGCAGAAATATTAGAAACAGGCTGGCTACATTATTTATAAAAATGCCTATGTTTTGGAGGAAGCACATATGAGCTCCCTACCACCCCTGCAACCCTATTATTTGCCAAGCCACGTGTCTTGATTATTTCTTTTCCCTCACTCCATCTGACCTTTTGGCATCCTTCAGCAGTTATTCTATCTGATTTTAGATCACAGTGTTTGGGGGAAAAGCTGAATGGCTTGTGCTATTGCCCTTCAACTCAAAATTAAATCTGTCAGGTTTCACAAGAGTATGCAACAAAAATGCTTTCTAAGAGACTACAGTTGTCAAAAGAAAGAAAAAATAACACTAGAAAGCTTGACATAGGTATATATTTGACAGTGTTTCTAGCCAGGTAAAAATAAAAATGTCTCCCTTGCAAATCTTCAGAAACCATTTAAAGACCTGCTTCAGCTCTCATACAAAAACACAAATTAAGCAGGCAGAAATTAAATCTACATTTTCCAACAATTACCATTTCATAAGGAGTATTAGCAAAAAGACTTAGCAACAAAATCAGAACAAAAAAGACACACAGAAAAATCTGTTATATTTTGGCAAAGTTTTGGCCACATTTTTTTCCTACTTCCTAATTCTAAGCAATTTTCTGCTTTTTAAATTAACTGGTTTTGCTTACCTACTTCTTCATGGTCACACAAAGCAATACTCAAAATGTAAGATGCAGGTTTTCCAACACAGCTGATTCCACTTGAGCTGCTTTATCTAAGCAGTAATTTCTAAATTTGGAACTGGTATGACATGCTCTGCTAAATGAGAATTCTTAGTCAAAAGTATAAAGATCACCTTCTCTTTTAGCCTTCTCTTTTCTTAACCTTAGAAACTTGTTCACACAGACACCACGGTTCTGAATAGAGTCACATGTGCCTCATTTTATGCACTGTGGGTACTGTCAGTCAGCTCCCAGCCCAAGAAAGTTTGGCATGTAATCATGCCTCAGAAGGCTTGGTTAACAGAATTCCAGATAAAACATCACAAATTCAAACCCCTTCAATTTAGCCTGAATATATATGGGAAACAAACTATTTATGTAGTTACACTGAAACATGCATATATTTCTTAAAAAACCAAGAACTAAGCAACTTGTAAGCACATTTTGCTTCTGGGTTGCCTTTGTGGCTTGGATTTTTTGTTGTTGTTTGTTTTTGTTTTTACAGATTTGAAAGAGCTTCTAAAGCTATTTTAGACCACTTTTACCTTAAAAAAAAAAAAAAAACATTCTCCTTTTCTGGGGGGGCAAAACTAGAAAAAAAAAATCCAACTTCAATAATTAGTCCATCTAAAGCTGAAAATAGTTTTTTCCCTACTGTGAAAAAAGTAAATATTGCCAGATTTTAAGACAAAAATATGCTATGAGAATCTCCACATTTGTAAGTAAAATTTTTTAAATGAATGAAATGAAAGTCTTACTCAGTGTTTTGACAGAACAGTTAAATCTGTTGATGAATTCAACAATTCCTTAGAGATCACTCAGGTTAACTGCAATTAATGAATAAACTCTTCTGAAGTGCTTCATAAACTCTTTATGAATTTACCTTATTTTCCTCCACACCAGTATAGCAGATTAAATGAGGATAAACAGTTTCTTTCAGCACCTTCCCATCAGCAGGATATATGCTTTTAGAAAGCCCACTGCATAATTTGGAAAAAAAATATAAAAATTAAAAGCTTTAGAAAGTCCTATCTTTTAGAAAGCAGAATAGTAACAACCAAGATTCATGAGTTCAATTAAAAGTTGCCATATAAGTAATTACAAGCGACTTTTTGAAATCACAGCACCAGCTGCCCACGTTCTACATGGCTAATCTTATTCCTACGTCCCCTGCTGTGTCAAACAAAGAATGAGGGCTGTCAAACTCAGGGTAAATCTTTGAATGCCAAAGCGGTTTTGTTCTGGTTTTTGATCATTTGCAACATGCAGAGATTTTTTCCATAATAAACCTCCCAAAGTTCATCTTGTACCTGAACTTTTTGTGTGAATTTCCCATCTGAGCCCACCTGTTTAGCAGCTGGTAGATGTAACTGTGGCCATCTTCTGTCCAGATGATCAGTCTGTAAGCTGCTAGGACTTCTCCACCAGCAAAGCACTGACCGCTTCTACAGAACTCAGTACAAAGCAAGGAGAAATCACAATAATCGTAGACCTAAGCTCAGAAAAACAGTAAAATATAAACAGTGTTAGACCATTCATTTTAATTCAGACTTGTTCGGGGCAATGAATAAGTAGCACATTAGCTTAACTCTTTGTAGTTTGACTACCCCTTTTAAAGCCAAAGGAGTTTTCATACTGCAAAGTCAAAAATCAAACCATGTATATTTCAAAGATAAAGAAACTGACAATTATGAAGGAGCACTGGAGCGTTTTGCTGTATTTGGTTATACTAAGGGATTTTGAACGGGATTTACTTTGTTTTGCTTTGCATTATTATTTACTAGACTACTAATTTCTTTTAGAGACATAGATAATTAATATAGCACATAAGCATGACACTGAAGATTCTGACAGAAGCTATAAATGCTTCTGTCTGTATTCTTTAGAGGATTATCTGCTGGCAGAATCACAGCACATATCTTAAAAAAGGAGATTTTTTTTTTCTTTGGGGAGCAACAGAGATTTTTATTATTTAAAACAATTGAAATCAAAGAAAATATAATTCCCTTTGCTTGCAAGAATTCTTCTCTTTTCCATTTCTAGACCTGGCAACAAAATATGACTTGTTTGTTTCTTCTGACATTCCCATGTTAAACTGGAACATGAGAGGACTAGGGCAACCAAGGGTATTGTCTCCTTGTTCACATTCCTAGTGGCCTCATGGAGAGAGCATTCATAAGCAAAATTTTAGTATTTATCCCAGCAGTATAAAAAAAAACAGATTTCGTAGGGAGAATTTCTATATTATTTTTAAGCTTATTTCTATTTTTTAGCTAATTTCTAGCTAATTTACTCTGTATTTTTCATCATTGTAGAAACTCTAAACAGATGTGAATCTCTCCTGTGCTACACTACATATGCCTTTCTAATCAAGGAGTAAGGTCATCATCTTATTTTAAAGCTGTATATTCATTAAAACACAGGAATTGAAAATCCAACACGACTTACGTACATATAACACTACTTGAATCAGCAAAACGTAAATATTCCTAACAGAGATATTACAAGAAACGTGCACCTCTTGTGGAAAAATGCTATAGAAAAAACAATGCACATGACAGATTTTTCCATGAACACAGAATTCCATATACACAATTTCTTCCTAACTACTTTTGTATACACTTTTTTTTAATAGTCCAAGAAAAATCTCAAGGACACCCTACAACTGTATCATTCAAAGCTGACTCAGATGTATGCGAGACGTCACCACCCCCATCGCCAACAGCAGTGGCGTTTGGATTGGGTGCGTATGTCGCACCAATAGCTCAAAATTATTTCAAGAGGAATGCCATAACACTGGGAAAAAGCAGTTTCAGCAACTACACAACACATTTATTTTCTTATAGCTACAAGAAAATGTGATATAGTTTGGGTTCTTCAGTTTTGTTGGCTTCTATTAGTGGAACCCAAGGCTACTGGCCCTGATGGACCAAAGGCTGGTTGGTGAGAACTGGTTAACTGTGACTACTTCAGTCACACTTAAACAATTTTTGTGCACCTTGGTCTCCTTTTGAAATGCACTGCAAAGTGACTATAGTGCAACCACTGCTCTAAAACTGACTAGTATCTAAAGTAATCCCCTATCTACCCAGTCAATTTCATGTTACACTTTAAAATCAGAAATAAATTAATAAAAACTAAACAATTAGACTCAGTCAGACAGTTAAGCAGAGAAGAGATACAGCACACTATTATATCTGACAATTAGTGACCACTTCTTTAAGCTAAGGAGAACACGCATCTGCATGTAAAAATATACTAGCTTTTAAAAATTATTGAGCATTAGACTTTCTTTTTAATTTTGTTAATAAAGTACCTGCCAGCATGTGGAGGACACAAGTAGAAGGAGTCTTTCTGTGTAAGTACAAAATCGTACTGCTTGACAATTCACACAGCCCAGAGATTTTGATTCCTTCTCACACACACTTTGTCTCTCCTTCACAGCAAAGAGGAAAAAAAAGATGTAAGATTTATTCTAGATCTCTGAACTTCTACTTTTAGGATATAAACAAATAACAGTAACAATATAATAACTTTGTTAACATACACTTTCAAAATACAAAGCAACACATAATTCTTAATTAAAAGTGGGATAGAAAGACACGAGTACCATGTAAACAGAAGACCTTCAACATGGCTCAGACCTTGCTCTCACTTGAAGAAGTGATAATGACTACAGAGAAAGACTAAAAGCAGGTCATAGATAGCATCTGCTGCAATGAATATCTGCTAAGTATTCTTTAGTCAAAAAAACAGCTACAACATTCTGAATGGCTGATGCACATTCTGCTTTCCCACTCACCCTTGTTACAATCCGGACAGTCTGAGACATATGGTATCATCATATGTTGCTTGAACTTAACACCTCTAAGCAGGGTAAAGTAATTCATTTTCTTAGTTTTGTATTGCTGAATGTACAGATGGTTTAAAAAAAAGCAAAAATAAAACAAAACAACAAACCAAACCACAAAACAAACATAAGTGGTTTTCACCCTGTTTATGGAAATATCAGACTTATCAAGGCCATCATGCTCAAAACTATTGATATTGGAATTATTTTTATTAGTTATTGATTAAATAACTGAAAATCCATGTTTTCTGTTTTGAAAGATGCCAACAGTACCAAAACCTCTCAAATATGGAGTATGCTGGACATGGAATCATGGCTACAAAACTAGAAATCATTCTCTCACTACACTTTGCTCCAATTAATTCCAACCATATTTATTAAAATATTGCGCTTCAAAATACGAAGAAGTTGGATTGTCACTAACTCTGCACTTCTTCCTTCACAAAAGAAGGCCCCAGACAGTAAGAGGATTGCACCAGAACATATATCCTTCTCTGATCTCTACTCCAGAATTTCTCCAGAGTGAGAGTATTTTTTGCCATAGGAATGTTGAAAAGACCCCCTCAAAACACTGCAGATAAACCAAAACCACGACAAAAACACCAGTATGGTATCAAACTTGACAGACTCTCCTGAGGGGCCTGATTCTACCCATTAACAAGTAGTGCTGCGACATGTTCTGCAGTTTGTTGAGCAAGGCAGTGATGTATTATGGATAGTCAGACAAGACTGCTGACATTTTGCCATTTCTGTCAATGATTCATAGTACTTAGCTGTAATACTGAAGTCCCTTTGTGAATCTAGATCTCAGAGTTAAATTCAAACACAAAACATTGTATTCCAATTCTAACACTCGTGCATGTCAAGGGACAGCTGCTGAGAATATTAGCACAGAAAAATTGCACAGAATAAGCGAGTTTGAAGATGGAGAAATAGAGCACTTGACACAGCAAGAGTCTTTTCCAAGCAAAGACAGCATTGTGGAAGGCAGACGCAGGAAAACAAAGTCTAAAGGACCATTTTGAAGAAAGTAACAAGGGTGAAGAGGGAGTACAAAGGCCAATTTTGAAGAGCTTTTAGTTTAAAGGACAGAGTGAAGGGGTTGAAAGAATGGAATGACATTATCAGGGCAGCAGGAAAGCGTTACAATTTCAGCATCATGGAATATAGAAAGAAAAGAAGTAGCCTGGGTGAAATACATCGCAGTCATCAAGGCACGAGCTGTTCAATGGCCCAACTAATTTTAAATAGTGACATGTGTGCTTACAGATTTTTGTGACAAAATTCATCAATTGTGTTTAACACTTTTCCAGAGGACACTACTTTATTCATATTCTGCTTCAATGTATCTTTTACTTGAGAACATTATTACATTCACGTAATTTAAATCTCTGTTTCACACCTCATACAAACTAACCTGTATGCTCTTCAAAGATGAAGATAGGTCCCACACTTTAAGAACTCCAGTTACAGATACTGCAACCAATGAGTCTTCTGTGAAAAGTTAACAGTGAGACAGTCAAGTTCAAACAATGAATAACACCAAAAGAGAACCTTGGCATAGACACTACAGTCCTATACTAAAACAAGGATTATGCAGGACGCTGTTAAGATAAAATAGTAATTATACACGAAAATTACTAATTAGCATACAGAAATACAAAGTATGCAAGCAAATAGTGAGTAATTATTTGTCCAGTAAGATACATTTCAACAGAAGGCATAGGATATCAGGTTTGTGCCCTTAATTTTCCTGATATTACAAAATTAATTTGTACCTCTAACCAAGAAATGAGCTGCTCACAACCAGTGTAGAGGCTGTTTTTCTCTGTAAGAAACATATTAAATGAAAAATGACCAACATCAGGAGTATTTAAAACACCTTCTTAGGTGCTGTCAGTTAAATGTTAACATCTTGTTTATAACAGCTCTGTAAAACATGACTAGCAAAATCTAGCATAGAGAGGATAGACTGTACTATCTATAAAGAAATATTTTATCACAGTTTAATTGGCCTATACAAGTACATCTACAATGTATACCTTGAATTCTTGCAGAGTGTACAATACACATACAATTTATCCAATCAGAAGACTCAGATGATGATAAAGTGTGAAGAACACTCAAAGTCTTAGCATCAATGATAAGGATATCCTGATATTCTCCACAGCAAAGCAGCCACCCTTCACCTGTCATTCTGAATGAGCAATGGTAATACTGTGCAAGTGGAAAGAAGAGAGTCAGCATACAGAGCTACACAGATGTGTGCACTTTTTTGTCCACATTAAGCATGCCATACTTGGAATTATAATCACTTGTAGCATTAACAAAAAATCTACTGCATGTGTGAGACCATATGCAACTTTGCTAGTGACACAAGCATTTCACATACATTTGTAACAATTTAATACAGGCATACAGCTTAGTAAGAGGTGCTTAATACTGAAAGCATTATCTGCTCTGCCTAAACATTAGCATGTTTGAAGCAATCAAGGTGTTAATTTTCATTATAAATTGCCAAACAGTTCAGGACCTGTTTCTGAGAGGCCACACTTCTCTCCAAACATCTGATAAAGCTCCAGTTATCAATAGGTATGTAACGATGAAAAAAAAAAAAAGGTGAAAAGCATTAAGATTCATAACTTTTTTTTCATAATGAATTCTTTGTTATTTTCCAGGAAGAATTTCTACTCCATGAGATAGTCTTCATTTTGACATTAAATGCCCTAGTGTTCTCAAAGACCCATTCTTTCTCAAAAACCTTGTAAAGAAAACAGGGACATAGCACAGTACTAAGGAACAGAGATAGCAGCAGCGCAGAGTGATTATGAAGACCTCTTCTTCGCTTAATGCTTTTACACACAGATATATTTGTATTTTGTGTAACATCCATCTGTAATTGTAAACATAATTACTATAAATACATAAGCAGACACCTCAGAGTTTCCAAGTAGATACTATTCTTAAAGAGAACAATCATGTAGTCAGAGGAATATATTAACAGACCCACAAAATTGTGCCTCATTAGCTACAAGTTCTCTGTACATTCCCTTTTGCTTAGATATTAATTCTTGGTCTATCACTTAACTAATTGAAATGTGAAAACAAAATAAGTTTAAGTACCTAGGAAGAGGTTAAGTATTACCACAAATATTATCAATGATCAGAAGCAAAAATGCTTAGTAGTAGGACCCATTTGTATTTACTGTTACTCCTAAACTAGGCTTGAACGAAAACACTTGTATAGTCAGTTGGTCCTTTGCGCAAATCCCACACTGGTTATGATCCATAACAGTTCCGAATGGTGTTAAACTTAATTTCAAATGGCAAATATTCAGTTTGCACTGCTTGACATCTGTTGTTTATAGTTGAATCATCTGAACAAAAGGAACCTACTGGACCAGATAGGTTAGGGGTTTAATTAAAACCTACTGAAATACTAACTAAAAATAAAGCAACAATTTTCAATGGTGATACTATCAGATCTCCCAGACAATAACATTCTGTAGGAAATTACACTCTCAAGCACTTATCCCACAATCAATCATTCTCCGTGGAACAACAAGAAAAAAAGAAGACAACCTACAACAAAACAAAATGTGCCACACACACAATAAAGAAATAATAATATCTGAAGGTTGCATTTTAGGAATAGTTTCCCTTCCCTTTCTAGCAATATATTTTCTTTTTCCTAAGAAAGTTTGACTTTTAGGTTTAGCCATCTTGCCACAGTTTAAGAACAAAAAAGCCATTATCTAGTCAAAACTAGGTTTTAGTTCCCTTCTTATAGAGAAGTAACAATTTTCTAAAAGTATCTGCTTCTCCTGCTTGAAGGATAAGAATAAAGATCCTGCTTTGATCTCCACAAAAAAGTACAGAGGTTGTCAGATAAGTTGGGCCAGATCTGCCTACTTCTGTGCAGAACTACTCCATAATTTTAAAACTCCGTAACTATCAAAATCTAATTAAGTGATACCACAAAGCAGATCATACTGCACCTCTATTACATTATATTTGAAGTATTGTTTTGTAGGTGTATATATGTACATATATATAAAAAGAATATATACCCTAAATACATACATAAATAAAAATTACAGGAATAACTTCTTAATCTATGCTTTTCTATATATACACACATGTATGCATGTGAAAATACACTTCCCTTTATCATTAACAGTTGTGTTGGAACTCATCACATCAATGAAAACAGTGTGTCTTCTGGAAGCTTTAAAACATTTGAATTCTGAATTTGGTCACAGTTCGAGTCACACAAGATTTTGGATTTCCATCCTTTGGAGGCTTAGTCCCATCCTAGAATTCCTTACTGAAGAAAGCTGCATTTTAATTAACCTAGGAGCCCTGAGTTCTTCTTCTACCGATATAGCCAGAAATAAGCCATCTCTCTGAATCAAATCCATGCATGCCAGGCTCCTCAATCATATACACACATGTATTTCAAACACGCCCTCAGACTCCAACATCTAGATACTTAGTGCACCCGGACACAGCCAACACCTGAAATTAGCTGAAGTAATATTTAAAGCAATCTGGTCTCTGAAAAAAAGTGACCTGTCTGCAATGAATGAAAGCTTATTTCTGGAAGTGGGGCAGAGTAGCCTTTTCAAAGCCAACAGTTAGGCATCAAAACCTTACAAATATTTAAAAATAAGATCTTTAGGAGATTGTCTCTCAGTGTTTGGCTAGATCGTTTGTACTTATAAAACAGGTCATCAAAAAGCCAACATTAAACCTGAAGTTTCCATGCAATTTAAACATAGGGCAAGAGTAAAGATTAAGACATTTTCGCTTTGCTACCAAAGTTTACAATAAATTAATTGATACCACATTTCAGATATTTGGAGCTTAAAATGAACCAGTCTGATTTAAGGAGTTGAGGCATATAAAAGTCTCAGTTCTTTTCTTAGAAAGAAGTCAAAAAAAAAAGCAGATACAAAAATGCATACATTGCAGCAAGTTTTTTTTCTCCTATTAAGCAACTGTATAAGCTAGACATTTAAAATTTTATGTTTCTGAGAAAATATCATGTTAAGAAAGTAAAATTCCTCTTGCAATGAACAGAGATATTCCATGAAAAGTTGCTATACTTACATAGATTGCTGTATGCCTATAAGGAAGCTTTGCGTTCTCAATGCACTCTCCACTTGTGACATTCCAAACACACATCTCCCTGCCAAAGATAACTTCATATTATTCTCTGTCATTTCCACTCAATTGGCTGGTATAATTTTGTGCCACTAAGTTTTTCTTTTGTGCTATACTTAAGTGCGGTCTGGTCGTTTATGTGGCTTTTTGTTACAGATTACTGGGTAAGAAAATGTTGTGGTCATTAGCAGGGGATGACATACAGTATCTGTTTCTTTTTGTTTTGGTAATTACACCCTGCTGCCTTGCAACAAACCTGACTTTAAGGCCAACCCTGGCCTACAACAAATTGTAGGTATGCTGCCATTACAGCTCATCAATGCGTCACTGTAACTATCTGTCGTTGGAACTACATCCTCCTGAAAATGATTCATTTCACTGAACTTAAACGTTTTGAAAAACATAATGAATCTTCCGCCGCATCAGACTTCAGTTCTTTAGAGGAACCGCAACTTCTGTTAAGAAGAAACAGTGCCACCATGAGGCTAGTCCTGAAATTTGTTATGGATAACAGCACTTGCCACTTAACCTAAACGTCTGTGCAACATTCTAGCTACACTTAATTATATTTATGGTTAATATTAGCCAGTCTTCCTCATTGAGGCATTATTCAACATGCTATGGAACTAGAGAACAACAAAAACACGATCAAATTAAATGTTGTAGATGAGGCCGTAGGAGGTTTGTTGTGTCAGTTTAGCAACTGAACTGCTTTTAGATTTTATTTAAACAAGCATTATTTCCACATTTGAAACTATAATTTTATGATTTCTGAAATTACCTCCTGAGACATTTTCTCTATGATGACTTAACACATTGGGGAAAAATAATTTATTACATCAGAAATCCTACTCAGTGATTTACATCATAACTTAAAGAGATGCTTATGCTGTTTGTTATTCAAGGCAGTGAATTTCTCCTTTTTTATATCAGAATGACAATCTACTGCTTTAGCTACATTACTGTTATGCATGTTTGCCTCTATGTAAAAGTGAGCCCAGAGTAGAACTTCTGCTAATTGCACTTAATTTACTGTGTGTACTAACAAGGAGTGTGATACCATATGGTGATAAGCCTATCCTACAGCATATGCTATATGCATGCACATGGCATTGGTGAGAACTTCTGAATCATTAGGGATTAATTTACAGATTTTCATAAAAAAAGGTATAAAAACACTGTTTGATAGTCATCCTTCCAGATAAGTCAGCTATACAAATACTTAAGAGATTCTGAAGTGGGATGGTGGGAGAGTATCATCTTCCATACAGCTTCTTCCACCCTCAATACAAGGAGATGGAAGCTTGAAATAGGCGGAAGCAAATGATTCACAAGCCAGAAAATGCAGTTTGACAAACCCTGCATCTCCTGAAGATGAGTCTTCCTATTTGTAATTATCCCAGCCTCATGCTGCTGTCTTCCAGGGATCAGTGATGGATGCTTTGCCCTTATGTAATAGGGATGAAAAGTTAGCAGTAACTTCATAAAAGTGAACACTTAAAGGGGCCAGAAGACTACTCAGTCCTGCTTATACACATTCCAAGCAAGCCTGACGACCCTTTCGGAAATAGAACCTTTAGGATGCTGACATCTCTCCGTATGGCATGTCCACAGCAAAAATCTCATTTGTTTCTTAACACTTTTCACCCCAACTTTTTGGAAACACATCTTTTCTCTCAATATGATCTGGAAAAAGTACTGCACTAACATAACTTCACAATGAAGATGAAAAATAGTTTCACCTCTGAATCCTTGATCAGAATTGTAGAAGGCCAATATAAAACTAGTCCTGCAGACTTCTTGCCCTCCTTTCTGCACATAACAACTAGAACTGTTTACCACTATCTGTCCACTGGGTCAGCCTAACCTTTGAAGACATGAACTCTGAACCAGTTTGTTCAAGTTATCCCTTTCCTGTATACTTATAACCGAGTGAGAGAATCGCAGAGATCCTAATAGCTAGAAAGGATAAATCCAGTGGTAGCCTTAAGGTGCTGGAAGGTATAGCTTGAAGAAGGGCAATTGACAGGAGCTCCTCATGGGAGGAAGTTTTAACAGAGTTGGTCTGTTAATTGGGAAAGATGAATCCAAAATGAGAGGAGAATATTATTAAAACAGCAAGACAAAATTGAAAAGCCCTTATGGAATTAAGAAGCTAGCCCTAACTATTTTCAACAGTTGAAATGCTGAACAGACTGGCTTCAAAATCCAGCTGAAAAGATCATGAAATATTCAGCGAGAAAAAAATTCTTGAATGCTAACCTAGCAGAACTGCACAAATGAGTTTGACTCAAGTGATGGGCCAAGTCACAACAAACACACGGGAGAAAAGCTGCAAGATAAGGAGTCTCTTGAAAGGATGTATTCCAAAATAGCAAGTCAGATTTAAAAATAGACAAGGAACAAATACACCTTTTTCCAAGGGCAGTCTGTGCTTCCATACATACTTACTGAGCAAGCATAACCTGGATCAAAGTACATTAGCCTCTTATACTGATTTAGTTCTCAGAAAGGAACAGAAAAAAGCACCATGATATAAAAATGCTTCTGAGCCTGCTGATTCCCTCCAATAGTCTGTTATTTTCCCTTTGTATGGGGCCTAGCCAACCCTCAGAACAATTCATTCTCCTGACTACTAACTGGAAATCTGAATCTGCCAAACCCTTCTGTCATCCAAGAGATGAGCTCTTAGACTATTGCACGTAAGCAACACAGTCATTACCCTAAGTAGCCGCTACGCTTTTCATATTACGGAAGAAGTGGATTAAAAACCTTCTGCCAAACATAGAATCTGAACTACACCTGCCATACATTTCATTATTTAAGAAATGAGTAATTGAATATTCAGTTACCTACCCATTTTCAGTAGCACTTACTACATATGGTTGTTTCTCAAACTCTCTTGCTTTTGCCAAACAAGTTACAGAAGCAGTATGGCCAAAGAGAATTTCTTTAGATGAAATCTAGGAGAATAACACAATGGTTTAACTTAAACATCTTTTTTTATAAACTAAGGAGATCTAAAAGCAGGAGAATACTACTTGTAGATGCTATTAATTAGTAATTGTCAATCTGCTTTCTATTCTTACGTTCTTCAGTCATGCTTCTGGAATGTACAAAGATGTGGATGGATTATGCAGTTTGCACGAAGTACAGTCTTTGTATTCACTGCAGTCTGAAAATTGCACTTTCTGTAGGGGGCATCAAATGTTATAAAACAATGTGCACAATATCTCTCGCCTTCACCACACAGCATGCAGCAGAAGTGACGGAGTGAAGTAAGGAACTGATATGGCAGAGCTCTTAACCACACATTTTCATACAACATGTTTAAGAAATCCCTTTGATTAGCTTCACTGCATCCAAAGATCTTAATGGAAAATGGTAGCCCCATAAAAGTGCAAAGTTGAGCAATATTTGAGCACAAACACGACTGCCAAATCCCCCCCGAAAACAGAACCATAGTTTTCAGAACACAGAAAAATTGGAACTGCTTTGACTCTGTTCTTAGAAAAATAAAGATGAAATAGTCAAAGTGATAGCAATGATATGCAAAAAATATATATTTTATGTTACTTTATCCACCTTTCTACAAATTTTTTCCATTGTTAACCTGGCAATGTTCTGCTTTTATAAATAGATTTTTTTTTCTTAAATGACAGGCCATGCTTAGCAGTTAGTTTAAAAAAAAAAAAAAAAGAAAAACAAACCAAACCAGAACACAAACAGAAAAAAAATACTTGAAAAGATAGCTGCATATGTTTACTTGCTGTCATTATTCACAGGACACAATCTCAAATTGTCACAGGCTGTGATAGTCTACGAAAAATTTTCCAAGGTCTGCACAAATAACTGGTTGCTCATATAGGTATTTCAACACTTTTTGCTTCATGAGTTTCCTATAACAAATATCAACTATCTTTAAAACTTAAGTAAGCGTAAATCTGGAAAATCTCATTGTTATAATAAAAGATAGGAATCCAATCTATTTGGCAGACAGGAGTAGCACAGTGGACACAAACCTTTAGTTCTGATGAAAGATCCCAGAGACATATTTGTCCTTCTTGACTTCCTGTAACTATAGTTTGCTGGTCATCTGTAATCATGATAGCAGTGATGCTGTGAGAGGGAGCTATTTTTCCCCACAATGCCACAGCTTGTACTGATACCTTCATTGTCAGCACCTGAAAAGAGAAAGAAGTCATGATGTTTCTAAGTAAAATGAGAGGTAAGAAAAAAACAACTTAAAAAAAGGCAATTTAATCAAGATCCGAAAAGGGCAGCTTCAATATACTGCTGCAAAAAGCTGATGAGGCATTGAAACATTTTCTAGCCATTGCCAACATCACACTACTACTTTCATTAAGACAGCTATCCACTAACTGCTTAAATATGCAGCAGGGTAGCAATGTGCTACTATTTTAAGTCTCAGCATTATCAACCAGGACCAGAGACTGGTACTATCACAGTATTGAAGTATCAGCAACAGGAGTTGTATGCTGCCCCACGCAACTTTGCTTAGCTCTGATGGGCTCGTGCTACTCTGTCTTCTTCCTGATTTTTAACGGTGAAGTACACCATGCCTGCTCTCTTCCCTTCAGAGAAGGTGTGGTCCTCTTTGTCCTGGAGATGGGGAAACAGAGTCCTTAGCATATCCTTAGTAAAGATATTTAAAACTGAAGAGGTGCCAGTAACAAGCCATTAGAACAGTGCAGTTGGGAGAGGTCAGCCAAAAGACATGACAGCAAAGCTGAAATCTTGTGAGAAAAGACAGTAAATGCATACAACAAAATGCATGACAGCAGGTAACAGCCAGCCAAAGGAAGTAATACAGGAATGACGCAAAGTGACATGAAGAACAGTTCCTATGTTAATTCAGAAAATACCACAGAAAAGAAACAGAGCACAGAAGCAGTCTTTTAAGCTATGTTTAGCCGAAACTGTAAAACAACCTATCACTTAATTCAGCATGGTAATAGTTGAAAGCAGGGACACGGACAAGAGGTATCTTCACTACTACTAGTAAAAGCTTTAAGTGACATAGTACTAGAGGAATGGCCTTTCTTCCTGACAAGAACATGAGGTGAAGGACTCAGCCACTGAGAAATAGGGCTGAAAAGACTGGTGTAGCAGACTGTCAAGGTCCTGCCATACAACCTCAGCCTGAACTTCAAAGGCAGAGGAAGAATCTAAGAAACAAAAAAAAAAATAGAAGTTCAGAGTTTATAACTAAATCACATTTAGTTTCATTTTAAAGCTCTTTGTGTACACATCACAAAATACCGCAAGATGTTATTGAACTCAGCTCTAGAATTTGACTTTTCTAAAACATTTTTTTAAACCTGAAGTATTATGCTTACTGGTGAATGCTGAAGTCCTTTTCTCTTCCAGTTTATGCCCTGAAATGAAAGTTGTTCCATCCAAACTCTAATGATGTGCTTTTAGCTACCAGCTACACAAAGAAAATCCATTTTCATAAGGCTTATAAAATGGTTATAAAAAGTTAACAGACTGATAAGCCAAATCCCAAGTCTTTCAAAGGCATTTTCTTGCATATTGTGTAGTCATTTATACTTGTGCCTACTGACAAAGCACTGGTTATACAAGAATAATGTAGAGTGAAATGTTACAAGAATATTTTGTACTTTTCCCTTTATATTACGATTGAACTGCAAGAGAAATGGAAAACAGAAGGTATATGAACTTCTGTGTTAATATAACAGTCCTTAACTTTTTCCCTCTTGTTTTTTGGTTAACCTTTCTTTTGGATTAAGATATTTTGGTGTACAAGATAAGTATTTTGCATGAAAGCTTTGCTCCTAAGAATACCATGATTTCCCTAGAAATACTGCATATGCATGCATATATGCATATGTCCACATTTTGTCAGACAATATTCACTTTTAGTAAAGCTATTTATTGATGCTGATAGCACCTAAAGGAAACTGGAGTTTTTTAAAATAAAATCAACAGATATTTATCAGACTGTTCCTTTAAAAAAGGCACAAACTGTTTCCACAAAGTCACATATTGCCCAAGGCATATCTGAGCTCCATGTAGCTTATCAGCACACGTCAAATTCCTCCAGCTCTGCCCACTCAAGCATGTCTGATTTGCAGTATTAACCCATAATTCAACTTTAAATCAAGTTCCCCAGTCCTGCTTACAACCTAATAAACTTTGTTTGTGCTGCCCTCATCATCACACTGACAAAAAGAACTCCCTTATGACTAACAAAATTTCCCTGTTCTTGGTTAAAACCATACCAGTTCATCCCACCACTAATTTGCCGTGTCTCTACCATCCTGTCCCTATTTCTATGAACATTTTTCGCACTGACGCTACACCACAAACCTCTGTTAACTTGGAAAACTATTCAAATTTGCACAGCTTCAAGGTCTTTGGCTCTACTACTTTAAAAACTTTGAACCATTGGTACAGTATTAGAGTTTCATTTGGAAGGCTGAGTACACCACCTTTTATTCTACAGAAGCTGTGAGGCATTTAAAGTCAAGTCAACAGCTTGAAGGGACCAAAGAGCAGGAGGTCTGACCTTGAATGTCTTTCCAAGCACATATTAATGCAAGGGCTTTTCCTCATCATTCGGCTTTTTTGACAGGGACTGGTCACAAACCGAGTATAATGAGAAAAGTCAGATTATACCATAAAGAAACAGTGACATAATAACTTAACATACACTTTTCTTGGAAAGCCTTAATTTCAATACAGTAAGCATATCTTAACTTTGTCTCCTCTACTAATCTTAAAAAAAAGCAAACAAAAATAAAAACCAACCAAAAAATAGAACAAAAATCCAACAAAAACCTGTTTGCTTTTCCATTAGACTCGTCTCCAGCCTTCCAATCACTGTCACATAATTACTGCTTAACCTTAGGCACATATCCCTGTGCTGCATTTCCTCAAGACAAAAATAATAATCCTAAAGCAGGTGATCTGGAAACATAAAGGTAGGAATAGAAGAGTTGCTTAGGTCTCATGTGCTCAGTGATGTGCAGTGAAAAATCTGGGTTTCATTTTGCCCCCACTGAAGTCTGTGATTCACATCGCCTATTGGTCCCTGCATGAAATATACTGAACAATATTGAAATGTTAACTACAGTTTTAAGAATCACATTTCTTGATAAAGAAAACATATACCTGATATTTAAATGAATTCAGAATTTACCAGTTCTCACATACATCAAGCTGCCTAAAATTAGGAACTTAACTTCCCAGAGACCTAATCTCAAACAGTTCCCATAATAAAACACTGATTGTGAAACCTTCTTCTCATAGCTATAGCCTGTAACAAAAGCTACCAAATAGGAATTTATAGAAGGAGAAAAGATTTTGTACAACAAAAGATCAGTCCACATTCATGCTTATTTCATTTTCCTGCGGATCCTAAACTATCAATACAAGAACAGTTATTTCAGTCAAATGTGTGGCAACCAGTGCAGGCACTAGAGAGACGTAGAAATAGTCCTACAGTCCTGAAAACATTAAGAGATTAGCAGGATTTAACTGCTTGTAATGGATTAAAAATACATAGATTTGAAAAAACAAACAAACAAAAAAACCACACAAAACAAAACACCATAGATGAGCCAACAAAATTCAAAACAAATTCAAAACATATTCCCTCTTACTGCCTATACAAGAAGACAGAAGTTCTATCAGTATTTTTGTACTGTTGTTAAAAAGCTAATTATTTTCCTTAAAAATAGGTTAAACTTGCGGGTTGCTGATTCCATATTGCTTTCACCACTTTCTCAATTTTGAAGTAAACACTGCAGTCTTATTAAGGATGCTGTATATTATCTCCTGTAATCAGCACAGATATAACCTTTTCCTGAATTAAAAATTTTTATTTTCCCACAGTAGAAAGTCTGTCTAAGAGGCATAAATAATAAAATATATTGCATTGACAAAGTACTTGGTAAAAGTATCTAAAGTACAAAATCTAAAAAGCGAGACAACAGTGCTCTTTGTAAGCCTGCAGACGTACCACACTGGTGCTCATGATGCTGCTCACAGATTTGCTATTTATATAAGTTGCTATTCAGAAGCCTCTTCTGTTCACAATTCTGAAAGCGCAGGTCAACAATAATTTGCAATTTGTGAAGCAGTGGGGTAGACAAGCCTTTGTGTAAGTGTGAGTAACCGAATAAATTAGAGAACTACAATGCTGAGAATGACAACAGAGAAATGGAAATAGAACGGAGATACAGAGGGGACAGGGGAGAAGGCAGGGCGTGCAACGTAGGAAAAGGAAAAGGTAGATATATGAGGCTAGGTAAGTGAAAAGGGACAACCAAAGAAATGACACTAAAGACAGCAAGACAAGGCAAAGTTAACAAAAAGATATTTTAAGTAATTCATAGCAAAAAGTAAAACAATGAAAAATTTATCAAGATACTTCAAAAAATTAATTAAAAACTAGAAGCATATAGTGCAAGAGAAACAATAACTGGCTCCTTCAAGACACAGAGTCTGCTTTCTGCGGGTACAGTCACAAAAATATTTCTATACTTCCAGTATCTTCAATAAGATATCTAACCAGATAGCAGGCAAGAAGTAAAATATTCCAGTAAATAACATTTGAATCTCAAGTCTCACTTCGTATTTTAATATGTTCTGCCAAACCCATCAGTATTCCACACCTTTTCCTCCACTTGGCTTTTGCAGCTCCATCCTGGAGACCCTGCCTGCCTACCACTGCACTTACAGTTTAAGGGTGTAACGGGACTTCCCTGGAGACCTGTCAGGGCTACACCCTAATCGGCCAGAGGACTCACTGCTGAGTGACACCCAGATCTCCCCTGGGGCGTGAACGTACAGCTTTTGCAGTCCACAGGAGCAAGAGACTGGGACCGGGAATCAATACAACCCATTTTAACTAGCAAGAACCACCTAGTAATACCTTGTTTGTATTTCTTGAACGAGTGACACAAGAAACACTTATTTCATTCCACACAATAATTCACCACAATCAGAAGGAGCACTGTAAGGGCAACACCATCTCCCAGCTGCTGATTACATCAAAGGTTTGCAGCACAAATTCAATTTTATGATGTTAATCTCAGCCTGCCACTCAGAAATTTTCTCTGAGGGATATGATTTTTCTCTGGATTTCATTTTAAGAATGATTTTCTTCTTCTACAATCAATAAAGG